TATATATATATATATATTAGTTATAAAAATAGATGTGTGTATATATTATAAAATATTTATATAAATATATTATATTTATTCAAACTGTAATAGTAGGCTTCAAACTGTGAAAATGTTTATGCATTTTGTTTATTTTAAGTTTTTTTATATTGATTATAAATTTCAGCATAACAATTTGAGAAGGTTTAACTGATAAGCATGAATTAACATATGTCTTAGTATTTTCAAGTTTAAAATGTATCACTTCATCCAGAATTTTTAAAATAATTCAAGTGCTTCAGTTTTTTTCTCAAAATCCTGAAACATTATTTACAGGTTTAAATTACAGTTTATATGTCTTTGTAACATTTTTCTGTGTATGTTTTCTATCATCTTTCTCTCCCTCCAGACACAGAGAAGCGGGCTCAATATATTGAGGAGGAAAGGCAGATGAGGGAAGAGAACATTCGTCTTCAGAGGAAACTCCAGAGAGAAATGGAGAGAAGGGAGGCACTGTGTAGACAGCTGTCAGAGAGTGAGAGCAGCCTTGAGATGGACGATGAGAGGTGCATTAATTACACACAAACACAAAAGATGACTGGACTCATGACCTTCTGTACATGTATGATAAACCTTGAAAATAACCAGACACACTGGTCTTAACATGAGCATTGTATGACTGACCTGGTTCATTTTAAACCCTGGTTATAGCAACAATTATAATGAAAACATGCATTGCCAGATTGTTTTTGTTTTGCAGTTTGTTTTTCATATCTCTCTATCTCTCTCTAGATATTTTAATGAGATGTCTGCTCAGGGACTGAGAGCTCGTACGGTGTCCAGCCCAATCCCCTACACCCCCTCCCCCTCATCCAGCCGCCCCATCTCCCCTGGTATGTGCCCACACAGATTTATCACTCTTTTATAGCAACAACTGTCTTTAACAGCTATTTTAAATTGTAATTATTTCACTTTTTTAACACATTTAACAAATGGTTTTACTTTTTTTTTTTTTTTTTTCAAAAACTTAATAGCTATAATAACTGTTGTACATTAGTGTACATGATTAAAAGATTTGATGTGGTTTGTCTTCGGCTCATATCCATTTTAATACTCAACAGGCTTTCGGCACACAGCCTTTGGATCAGTTTCTAGGGTGATGATTAGACGAATGTGTTTTTATGGAGTGTTAATTATTATGCAAGCTGTACTGTACAGTGATGTGAAGGTATATTAGGTCAGAGTCTTGCTTTCTGTCTCATCTTGCTTTCGGAGATTAAACTGATAAATGAGGGCTAACCTTTGAGGTCTATAAACATAAATCTTTTAGATTGATGATGATGTAGATGTTTTATGGTTTTTAAATTAGCATTAGGTATTGTAGGTTTTGATAAACACAAAATAGATAAACTAGGTAATAAACTAAATTAATCTTTAAAAAAAAACAACTCATGAACAAGTATATCAAGTTGTGCAATTCAGAAGTTTATGAAGTTCAAATGACCAAAGATTAATATTGATAAGGAGAGCTTAAATCAGAAAAACAGTCAACATTTAGTTTATTGCTGGCTTTTAATAACAGCATTAATGGGTTGCATCATATAAAAAAAGTGTGCTTTTTTTTAATGAATTTAGATCTGCATGATGAAATAACTAGCACTGCACATCTGATGGTGTGAAAATCACATTTTCTATTGTATTGCTGAGGAAGGCTGATTTATAATTTTCCGAACCAATCTGTTTTTTTCATTAGTTTTCTGTGCTGAGACCAGTTATTATACATTTTCTCATGATCTCAGAGGAGTGATCTACTGAGCTATTTATATTTGTTCTGCATACTGTCATTGTTCGTTTAGAAATTTTGGCATCTTACAAAAAAAAACAGCATAAAGGACCTCAATAAAATCGATTAGCAGATGCTCTTTTCATTTTAGGTTTGTCGTATGCTAGTCACACGGTTGGTTTCACCCCTCCGGCCACGCTGAGCCGAGCACCACTCCCCCACTACACGTCTCCCGGGCTACACATCCACCCAGGACCCTCACACGCTGTACAGGTGCCTACACACACATCCAGCATATATATATATATATATATTACACACTCACTCTATGCTCAAGCTCATCTTGATGTTGAGCAAGATGTTTACATGCAGAAAGCAGTGTGTGTTATGGACAGCCTGTTTTCAGTTAAGATCCATTGTAACGCCATTCAGCTGAATTGAAAACAGCACATTTGATGACTCATCTGTGAGTCACGTGGTGACACTCGACCTCAGAACGCTCTTCCTCATCCCCATTGTGTGTCTAAGTTAATATTAGACCAGTACTGTGAATCCTCAGCCATTCAAATAAGATAAAGCACAAAAGCTGCATCCTGACTTTGTGTACCTTGCAGTGTATTCTGACCTGTTAGATGGAGTGATAGTGCACTTACTCCACCCAAAACAAACACAAAGGTGCCATGTCTTGTATTGTGTAATGGAGATATTAAATTATATCATAATGCAGAAACCCAGATAAGATAAACTCGCTGAACAGAAACATCCATGTTTTTGTGCATACAGGTGAGGATGGCCTACATTTTTAAATAAAATACATAAAAAGTTTCACACTTTAAATTTACTTTTCCCAAGGAATGTTACTTTAAAAAAAAAAAGAGTATGCAATTCATTCATATGCTGATGAATTGACATGGTTTATTTTTTTTATCTTGCCACTCTTTTTGGTGAGATTAATGATTGACTGTTGATTGTAAAAAAAACAAAACATTTATTCCTCTCACTCAGTATTAGGTAAGAAAAAATGTCAAATGGCAGAAATGGTTCGGAAAGTCAAAGAAAGTGGTTTATAAATTACTTTAAGGATGTTTTCTGTGTGTGTGTCAGGACCAGGTTCATGCCAGTTCAAACAAGACCTGGACAGTCTTTCATCACATTTCCTGTCATTCATGGCAGCTCTAGAGTAGTTGAGGTGACACTGTAGCTATTGATTTCAAAAGGAAAGGTCTACTTCCTGAATATAAAAATTTCTTTATCAATGTTGAAAACATCTATGCTGCTTAATATTTTTGGGGAAACTTGGATAAATTAGTTTTAATTCTTTGAGAAGAATGGTCACAAGAAGTTTTTTTTTTTTAATTCAAATTTTTACAATTTGTTCTTAGTAAAAGTTAATAAAGTTAAAAACTTAAAAGTGTTAGTTTCTTTCTAAAAATCTTAAAGACCCCAGACCTTTGAGTGAGAGTGTATATTTCCTTTTCAAGCCATTTTGTACCATTTAAGATAAATGGCGACTGCAACGTGGATTTAATGTGTCACTTTATCAGGTTAATGTTAGCTAGCAGATAAATAAGTTAGCTATAAATGTACAGCAATGAAGTAATCATTTTCAACCGGTCTCAATTTCAGCTTATGTATGTTCCACAACACCCTCTGGATATTGTCCAGTTGAGTGAAGGCCAACAATATAAGTCTAGCCATGTTGCAGCAGCAATTAATCCAGCCTCATGTTTATGTCTGTTGCACAAATATGACCCCTCTTTACCAGCAGAGACTTTTTATGAAGTGACTGACTAGGTAAGGTGATTACATAACCTCACCCTTGCCGTCCCTTAATTGGATGGCTCATTGCATAGCGAACTAAATAACCAAAAACATCAACACGACTTTTGCGGCATCCAGCTTGTTCATTTCACAAGACTGAGTTTGTAAGCAATTGAAATATTCTGTGCACACTTCTGAGGTAGTGTATTGAGACCAAGAAATCCAAAAGTATTTAATTGTACGTTTTGATGTATGGGCACATGGATCCAAGGGAAGTGGTATGACAAAAAAAAACAACTCCTCCTAGGATATGCTTTTGTGATCTTTTGCAGTAGTATTAGCAATTAGCAAATCCAGTCACTTGACCTCCGTTCCATGTACTTTACAACAGATATGGCTGCTGAGCTGATTTGATTAGGTAATACCGAACTTAAACTTCTTACTACACGGGTGACCACTTCAGGCTTTCAAAGAATAATATTCAATGACAGGTTTGGATTAGTCGCTAATTCATGACACTCATTATTGTTGCCTCTTTTTGCTTTCCTAATACCCATTTGAACGTCGTGGATTATATTTTCCTGTTGGGGAGCTGTTGGCTATAGCAACAGTGAACTGTTTGTTTTAGCAAAGAGTGGCTGGCTCACTTTCATGTCCCGTGGTGCCTTGAAAAAGTCAGCTTGTTTTGATAAACCAGGAGTGACAGCAGAGCCAGACTCTTCCAACACACTCATAGGGGTCACATTTGCACTTTCACACTCAGTTTGCACATGTAAACACACTCATATGTCAAATAAACTAGGGAAGATTATACCAATGACCATTTCATGTGTAAATTTTAGCATAGTTTTGTTTAGCAAAAGCGTGACCAGTCAGAAAGTACAACTATTGAACCGTTTAATCTTTTTTTCACCAGACATGTCATATTTGGGATTTCAAAATTGCCTAAAATGTCTGGGTTTTGGCTTTGTTTTCCTGTTGTTGTGTTCTCAGTCCTCATACATTACTGATGAAATTGAAACCACATACTAGTATGCTATTTCACATATGCTATCACATACAGGTGCATCTCAATAAATTAGAATGTCATGGAAAAGTTCATTTATTTCAGTAATTCAACTCAAATTGTGAAACTCGTGTATTAAATAATTTCAATGCACACAGACTGAAGTAGTTTAAGTCTTTGGTTCTTTTAATTGTGATGATTTTGGTTCACATTTAACAAAAACCCACCAATTTACTATCTCAACAAATTAGAATATGGTGACATGCCAATCAGCTAATCAACTCAAAACACCTGCAAAGGTTTCCTGAGCCTTCAAAATTGTCTCTCAGTTTTGTTCACTAGGCTACACAATCATGGGGAAGACTGCTGATCTGACACTTCACAAGGAGGGTAAGCCACAAACATTCATTGCCAAAGAAGCTGGCTGTTCAGAGTGCTGTATCCAAGCATGTTAACAGAAAGTTGAGTGGAAGGAAAAAGTGTGGAAGAAAAAGATGCACAACCAACCGAGAGAACCGCAGCCTTATGAGGATTGTCAAGCAAAATCGATTCAAGAATTTGAGTGAACTTCACAAGGAATGGACTGAGGCTGGGGTCAAGGCATCAAGAGCCACCACACACAGACGTGTCAAGGAATTTGGCTACAGTTGTCATATTCCTCTTGTTAAGCCACTCCTGAACCACAAACAACGTCAGAGGCGTCTTACCTGGGCTAAGGAGAAAAAGAACTGGACTGTTGCCCAGTGGTCCAAAGTCCTCCTTTCAGATGAGAGCAAGTTTTGTATTTAATTTGGAAACCAAGGTCCTAGAGTCTGGAAGAAGGGTGGAGAAGCTCATAGCCCAAGTTGCTTGAAGTCCAGAGTTAAGTTTCCACAGTCTGTGATGATTTGGGGTGCAATGTCATCTGCTGGTGTTGGTCCATTGTGTTTTTTGAAAACCAACGTCACTGCACCCGTTTACCAAGAAATTTGAGAGCACTTCATGCTTCCTTCTGCTGACCAGCTTTTTGAAGATGCTGATTTAATTTTCCAGCAGGATTTGGCACCTGCCCACACTGCCAAAAGCACCAAAAGGTGGTTAAATGACCATGGTGTTGGTGTGCTTGACTGGCCAGCAAACTCCCCAGACCTGAACCCCATAGAGAATCTATGGGGTATTGTCAAGAGGAAAATGAGAAACAAGAGACCAAAAAATGCAGATGAGCTGAAGGCCACGGTCAAAGAAACCTGGGCTTCCATACCCCCTCAGCAGTGCCACAAACTGATCACCTCCATGCCACGCTGAATTGAGGCAGTAATTAAAGCAAAAGGAGCCCCTACCAAGTATTGAGTACATGTACAGTAAATGAACATACTTTCCAGAAGGCCAACAATTCACTAAAAAAAATGTTTTTATTGGTCTTATGAAGTATTCTAATTTGTTGAGATAGTGAATTGGTGGGTTTTTGTTAAATGTGAGAAAAATTATCACAATTAAAAGAACCAAAGACTTAAACTACTTCAGTCTGTGTGCATTGAATTTATTTAATACACAAGTTTCACAACTTGAGTTGAATTACTGAAATAAATGAACTTTTCCACGACATTCTAATTTATTGAGATGCACCTGTTCTAGTAGACAGTTTAGCAGAGGATGTTATAAATTACACTTAACCATTAAAAGGTTTGGGGTCAGTTTGATTTTTCTTTTGTTTTTGAAAGAAATCTCTTGTGCTCACCAAGGCTAGATTTAATTTATTTCTTTGATGGTAAAGCTGAATGTTTTGTGGCTGTAACTCCAGTCTTCAGGGTCTCGTGATTCATTGGAAATCTTTCTAATATGCTGATTTAGTGCAAAAAAAAATAAAACTTACATTTTGTTGTCTTAAGCACCACAACTGATTTCAGCATCAATCATACAATTTTTGTAGAAACTGTGATATTCTTTTATTTCAAGATTTTTTGATAAATAGAATGTTCAAAAGAACACCATTCATTTGAGATAGATATATAACTTTAAAAGTCTATTTTCTGTCTCTTTGTATATCACAGCTTGTTTTGTATTTGCTCCCGTCATACAGAGGCCATCCCCAAGGAGAAGCACCAGCCCAGATAAGTTTAAGCGTCCGACGCCGCCTCCCTCCCCAAACACACACTCTGGAGCACATCACCCTCCTCCACCACCACCCGCACAGCCGATGGTGCAGTCTGGCTCCTCCCACTCTGTGACATCACAGAATCCCCCCTCTCAGCCTTAATGCATACACCGTGCGCTACCTTAAGTTAGGCTGCTCCAAGCTAGGCTACACTACTACTACAATGACAACTCGGTGATCCTCCACTGGGCAAAGGTTGGAAGGGATTGGAGCGGATATGGAATTAGAGGACTGTTGAACTGGGGAGCGAAAGGATTGGGAATGTGAGAAGGGAGAAGGTGTAGATGCTTGGCCTACTGACGGATCCATAACCAGCCCCATGCCGTTAAATTTCGTTATTCTTACGTTTTTTTTTTTTTACTTTTTCCTTTTTTTTCTGTAAAGTGATCAAGCTGGTTCAGGGAATAGATTAGGAAAGTATAGGAAGAGAGGGTTGTCAGCTGCGTATGCCTGCTTTTCTTTCTTTTTTTTCTTTTTTTTTTTTTTCTTTCCCTGGCCCCATTTAATCTTATTTGTTTTAACAGATTGACCATTAAATGTAATACATTTTCCATTTAATAAACAACTCAACACTCAATTGGATAAATCTTTATGAGTGTATCTTCACAGATGCGGAAAAGAAATCCCATCACATTTGCCGTGGGGGTGGCAGTAAAACTTTTTTCTTTGTTTTATTGTCTGTCTATTTTAGGCCGTTTTTGTTTGTAAAACAGACGTGTGTGTGTGTGTGGCCCGTTGGCAGCATGTAGATGGTAAAGAAGACGGACTGAAATGTACTGAAACTGCACTTGTTGCCTCTCTGCGTGTGTATTATAGTGGGATTATAGTGTTTGTGTGTGTGTGTGTGTGTCTGCACAGCCATAGAGGTTTCCCACAACTGCTGGTCGTGGACCAGTCTCTCCCTGCTAGAATCTAAACATGACCCACTATGAAAACAAAGTCAGTACTGGTTTCTGATCAGCAGCTCAACCTCTCTCAGAGCCCTCGCTGTAAAGTGAGTGCCCTGAACGCTTATTCAGATTGGGGAATTTTGCTTAATGCCAGTGTCATAAAACACCTAAACATGAACTGATATGTTGATGCAACAAAACAAGGTACTGTTGAACAATTAACTCAACATGATTAAATGCTTGTACAAAAAAAAAAACTTCTGTGTTTTTTTTTTTCTTACCTGAAATGTGTGCAAGTTATTAAACTTTAGCTTATAACGCTATGTGTTTTAACCTCATTGAATATTTTAAGGATTGTTAAAGATACTGTGATTTTTGAAGGTTCTTTTATTTTTTTGTTTTAGTCAGATCCTAGGGGAAGGATTCAGAAGTCACGAGTGACAGGTCACATTTCCTGCTGTTTTGTGTTTTCGTTTTTTTAAATTAAGAAACAATCTCATTGTAGCCAGGTCTCCTAAACGGGTCTCTTTCTGCAAAGGAACACATCAATATATTTCTATTTGATTTGTATTGATTAAAAGGTGATGGGTTTATTTAAAATCTAAAATTTGAAAGATACCAGTGCAGTTAGTATAGCAAAATAAATAGCACTTTATATAGCATGCCCACATCCTCAAAAAACATGAACCGGATAAACTGACACAGCTGTTAAATACAGTTACAACAAGGATAACTTTTAGACCTTGCTAATGTTTTGTCTGAGACGATAGTACAACCAAGGTTCAAGAGACCTTAATACATTAATACAAAATTTTCCTATTCGGGAATGTCATGTTGTTAATGTTGCATATTATAGGGCCTATACAGTTCGCTGAAAAAAAAATATTCATTGAATTTACTAAATCTTTTTAAGGTAAGTGGTTGCAATCAGTTTATTTTAGCTACATTTAAAATAAACAAATTTGTTTGACTTTCAACTTTTTTTTTTTTTTTTTTTTTTTAAATGTAGCTAAAATACATTGTTTGCAACCACCTTAAACTTTGTGTTCTTTGTAATATTAATGCATTTCACTGCTTGTTTTTATTTATGTATGATACAAAACATTTGTTTTGATACTGTTGGGTCACTGTCAAATGTGGGACCAAAAATAAATCAAGGTGAGAAACAGGCTAGATGATACAAGAAAATCGAATTTCTAATTTTTCAAACTACCGTACATGACTGTTCATGTGCTCCCTTGGCTTCTAAATGAAATTAAAAAATGAAATGTGATGACCTATTTCTCAGGGTGTGCAATTTCCATTTAGGTAGTCTTAAAAATATGTCCTTCAGTCAATCATTTCCAAGATGTCTTAATTCATATGACAGAGCACATGCACGTGTCAATATGAGTTATCTGCGAGTAGGATTATGTAACGTTTTACCTCCGTTGTCTCTTCACGGAACTAGAGGTGTGTGAACGGTAACCTGTAAAAAAAAAAAAAACCCTCTAGTTTTAATTACTTCTTGGCTGAAGCTGTTTTCGTTTGAATTCTGACCTTCCGTTGGCACATGGTGACTGTGATTTCACCAAGTACAACATGTTCCTGACCTGGATCAACATCCCTTTCAACCAATCAGAATTTAGGGATACGTTTCCAGGAAAATCTGTTTTAGGCTTATGATCAGGGTTAGGTGCTTCTACACCCTTGTGATTCAACTATCATTTCACACTGTTTTTAGGAATTAATTATGGGTAGGGTTAGGTTTAGGAGTAGGGATTGGGTTAAGTCTATATTTTTGGACAGTTATGTTGATCCAGGATCAACAAAAGATGTTGATCCAGGAACATGTTTTACTTGGCAAAATCACGGCGACTGTTGAACACATATAGACAGACGTACATTGTGCGACCCTTTGTGACATCAGCCCTCTTGAGGTGTCAGTTAACATTACACACCTGTTTGGTACTGTACATCAATCCCCCCCCACAGTTTTCCAGTCTAATTAGCAAACACCACTCTTATATCTTAGCAAGTGCTCTTTCTCACCCACACACACACACCCATCGAGTCCTGTAGCTGTGTGGTAATCCCTGCTGCACAAGTATTTCAGCATAAGCTGTCCTGTGCTGCTTTCTCTCCAGCAACAGCCACTCTCACCTGGTTCAGACCGGTTCTGTCAGGCTCGGGTGGTCAAGGGTGTGAAACCGACCCTCAAGTTCTAACATTACGGACAGATTCGAAGAATAGTTAGTCACACAGTTCAGTGTGTTTGGGTTCTGAAAAAGCTAACATAGATATACCCATGTGACTGCATTAGCAGGTAGGGAACAGCCAGGGGTGCTTGTAACAATTGACCATTTCTTTTGGTAGATCTATAAAACAGAAATGACTTAACTACAATAAAATCAATATAATAATAGTAATAATTAGAAGTTAGTATTAATAATTAAATAATAATTATTAGTAATATTTTAAATCTGGTAACAATTATTTAAGAGCCTGTCAAAAATAAATAATTATAATAATTTTATAATAATTAGAATTATAAAAATGTAGCATACTTATAGTAACAAAAATAAGATAATAGGAATAATACTTCTGTTACCAGTCAGGAAGAACATGTCAGAATATAATGATAATTATAATAAATAATTATATAATATTGTAATACAATTAAAATGACAAAAATCAAAAATTATATACTTTTAATACAATTTTATAATAATAATAATACATTTATCAAAAATAGTATTTAATAAATAATGTATTACATCATTTAAATAACAAAATTAAATAATTCTGGTAGCAATCATGGAGAAAGTCAAATATTATTAATAATTATAAAATAATTGTATTATTTAAATGATACAATTTAAATAATAACAATTTAAAAGCCACTTTAATTATTAATGAATCATTGGGGTCTACATTTAATAATGAAAGGGTGAAAGTAGGGTGAGAAAATTTTGACTTGCTAGTTTAGTTAAGTTACACTGATATGATGCTCTGTATATTTGTTGAGTAAGATGAAGCTGCTAAGCTGAAAGTTTCACTGCCCCGCGTCAGTCTTTGGAGAAGGTATGTCTTCTCTTACCATTCCCTCAGCTGACTTGAGCTTGATTTGCTGCTGACCTGTTTAAGGGTAAGAATGGAGTGGCAAAACAAGAGTCAACATCAGGAGATGCCGTATGTGTAAGCAAGTCAATAACGGAGAACGAGAGGGAAAGGGAAGGGAGAGTCAGGATATCACAGAGGTCACTCCAGGTCTGTGTTCTTCTGCCATGCTAGTCAAGTTGAGTCAGCATTCCTGAAAGAGGAAGCAAAATCTCATAGTAAACATGGAGATCATGTCACTCACAGCTTTTGTTTTCCAGATGGACTGCTCTCATTACACTTCCTCTGAAATTGGATTAATCTTTTTTTCCAAGAAAAACGACAAAAAAGCTCTTAATAAGTATGGTGATTACTTAACATTACAGCAAATCCAACCAAACTAAATTAAACCGTAAGCTATTTCTGCTCAAACATAACTCAAAGCTTCTCTCACACTCTCACTCAAATTGAACATCAACACTGAGAGAAAATTTAATATAGAGGAGAGATGCACAATAGCTATCAGTAGAAAGTTTGGACGCATTTGACTGTTTGATGTTTCTCATGATCTTTGAGACCTTTTATCTAGTTATGTAGACAAATATAAATTGTGTTTGTGTATGAATTTGTTTACAAAACCACAGTTTTAATAAAAAAATTAAAAAACACGAACTAGCGAGTGAAGGAAAACAACCAACATGTGCCCAGCATGCATGGGAACTACTTCAAGACTGTTGGAAAAGCATCTGAAGCGGCTACTTGTGAAGTTTTGAGAGATCGCCAAGAGTGTGCAGCAGTGTTAGATATTTAAAAAATGAAAAACATAAAACAGTCTTTATTCACTGTTTAATATGCATACTTACTATTTATTTGATGACTGCTATTGTAAAAAAAATTATAATAAAGCCTGAGTGGGTGTGTTTAAACTCTTGACTGGTACTGTAGATGAACTTGCTCTGTCCATCATGTCAAGCTCTATGTTTTCTTATTAAGCAGACGTTTTAATCCAAATGTAATCTAGAGCCAAGGGTATGTTCCTTCCAGAAGTATCCCATTGGTTTCCCAGATCCCTGCGGGCTGCAGTCACGCAGCATAAGAAGAGATGTTGTCCAAAAAGGTGATATGAGGCAAATGCAATTAACTGTTCTTTCTTTTTATTCACTTTCTTTTCATGTCAGAGGGGATTACCGAGTCAGGGTGGGGGAGGCCGAACCAGTGTGGGAACCAGTACAAGCACAGGGCAGGAACAGGATCTCGGTGGGCTTAAAGCCCAAGCCGTCTGATCCTCAGCACAAAAGTTCAGCCGACCACCCAGACAGAGACGAGAGATGTAGAAGGGTGGGAAGAAGTCTACGAGGTTTGCTCTGTTGGCGAGTCTAAAACATGTTCTTCAACATCTTCAGCTCTGGATTTAAACAGATATTTCTTTAATGTCATTTATTTTACTGCCTCCAAATAAGTGAATTATAGTAACAGAGGTGAAAGCCTATTGTGATGTAAAACTCCTACAGGTTTCCTTTATTTTTTAAATTTGCATATTACTTCAGAGATGCATGATCTGAGACAAACAACAGATTATTGCTTATTTCAAACTTATTGCTTTTACTCATTAATTTGGTCATTTTAATAACATAACCTTGAAATTAATTGAAATTTCAAAAGATTTACTCACAGATGTATTCATAATGTTCCCTTTCACTAAAATCTCTGTTTTGTCATGAAAACTCACTTGCAGATGCAGAGACAATGATAATGAGCTGACTTCATTTTAAGCACAGGAAATGTATTAATTTATGTTTTTTATTGTATTAAATATATATATATATATATATAAGTTATAGAAGTTTTAAACGTTAGCATTTAAAATAAAAATACAATAATAGGCTATTATTATTATTATGACAACCATTTTTCTTCAGCATTTTAAAGCAACAGTATAGTTTTTCTTGGACGCAATATAAAAACTAAAGAAACCAAAAGTAACAGAGACTCGAGTCGTTCTTTGCTTGGCCGGTTGATCTCTCCGTGACACGAGTCCGGCCGGTAAGAACAGCTTCGAACCGGTTCTTTATTTCACGGGATAGAAGAGCGCATGCTGAGAAAAGTACATGCCCGTGCACTGGCTGCAATGTCCAACCTCACATTGGTGCTTTATCAAATACAGCAGATTACAAATGGCGTTGTAATGTTAAACGCACCTCCTCTGTAATCACTTCTCTCTGCTCCTCTGCTGGTAAGGCGCAACTCTTAAAAGAACAAAATATTCTCTAATAAGCATATACACAATAAAGCATTGACGTTAATGTTTTACTATGGAATAAAATAGCTGTTAATTATTAGGTGGCGAACTGCAGTTGAGGAGAAACTTCAGCGCGCTTCCGTTCGTTGCACCGCTCTGCGCGCGCTGAAGGGTGAAGATGCATCCGCGCGCTGCTAATGGCACCGGTTCTTCTCACGACTGCGAGATGTCATAATTGAACTGGACGAATTTAAATAAAACAGGGCGTAAGGAAGGCAGTCCGGTCAGTGGTCTCTCCCCCTTCGAGGTGTGGTCTCTTTCCAGAAGCGTTCAAAACTAGGCGGCGCGCGAGAAGGTACTCAGCAGAGATTCGCGTGAGACTGGCCTGGTCTACCAGGCACGAGCGGTTCAGCCCACCGCGCTCTCCAAGCAAGAGCAACATCCACCTGCCGTAAGTCTCAGCGTTTTTAAGTTTTGTGTTTTCAGTTGTAATTTTCACATTTTATTTTGGTAGTTGATAAATACCATGCACGTGACCTATCATAGGTTTAGATTCGTTTAAATAAGCAAACGTGACTATTTTAGGTGTAGTAACATTTTAAGTTTTCACCGTTTTTAATCACCTGTTAAACTTTTTGGAGTTCAGTTTCTATTATATATTGACCTTAATGTATACAATGAAACCTAAAAAGTTACTTATTTTTGTATAAAGTTTAAATGTGGTATTGCAGATTATATATAAAATTACATATTAAATACATGTAAAAATGACAGTTTTGCATAAATGATAGCATGTCACACTGCCATGAACTGCACACTATCAAACTGATGTTTCTCCCTTTCTTTCTGAAGTTCTGTGTGTCAAGTGAAGTCAGCGTAAGATCAGTGCTGAGAATGGGTGCTGTAAAGGGTGAAGGTGCTTTAGATGGTGGATGGGGATGGATGATTGTGGTGGCCTCTTTCATGGCCCAGTTCCTGTCCTTTGGATCCCCCCAGTCCGTCGGGGTGTTGTACCCCAAGTGGCTCAGTGCCTTCCAGGAGGGAAAAGGCAAGACGGCTTGGGTCGGATCCATGGTGTCTGGTGTGGCACTCATCACCAGTGAGTACTGATCATTTCTCTCTCTTTTGTGTGTGAGAGGGAGAGAGATAAAGAGAGTGTGCAGGTTTCCTAATAAAAAGCAGCCTGTGCAAACAGCAAGAGTTCTGGTGCTGTTATGTAATGCACATTATCACACATGCTGACAAATGGGTGTTCAACGTTTTGAAATAGTATAAGACAAAAAGAAATAGCACTGAAAAATGTCTTAATCAGTTATAAACATCTTGTGAACACGAATAATTAACTTTGCAAGCAAAATTGTATAATGTAAGTTTTACATCCATTGGATTTTGTTAGATTTATGCTATAAACAAGAAAAAAGCAATTGTGGTAACACTTTACAATGTCTCATTTCTTAACATTAGTTAAAATAAACTATGTGCAATATATATTTTTTACAGCATTTATTAACCATTGTTCATGGTAATTAATAAAATACAAGTTTATTGTTACGATGTTTATTGTTTGTCCATGTTAGTACAAATGAACATTTACTAAGATTAATAAATGCTGTAAAAATGTGTTAACTAACATAGTTAACTAATATTAACAAAGGAAACTTTATTGTAAAGTGTTACCACAATAATGTGCCAGATAAAATAATTTCAAGATATTAATATCTCATGCAATATTTTTTTCAAGTAAAAATGTCCTGTTTTTGTCTGTTTACCTATTTTTAATAGACAAAAATTCTAAGATATACCTGTTTCTTTGTCCTAAGTGTCCTAAATCTAATCTGACATAAAGATCACACACACTAAAACACTGCTCTTTTTCTCATAGAATGCTGCTGACTCAGTGTTCTAAAGCCCTTTTTCATGAAAAGACATGCTGACAAATAGAAAAATGATCTACTTGTTTACATTACAGTTATATACTAGTCGGTTTTTGCTGTCGGCATTGCAGGGGTCAAATTGACAAGTCCAAAAGAACATCCTCTGAACTTTACTTACAAGAGAGAGAAAGGGCAGAAAGACAGAAACATAGTCACCTTTCATGAGCTAGAGTAAAACTTCACACAGGCTGAATGTGCATGTAAATGTGTCTCTGTGTGAGTGTTTGGGTTACGGAGGTGTCAGGTTTTGTTTACAGACATAGGGGAGAGCGGGGCACAAAGTAACACTTTTTGACTTTCTCAGTTTGTGTAAATCCACAAGGGGTTTAGAATATATATATTTTTTTCCACAGTAATTTTACACGTGTCTAGTACAAATATGTTGCCTTGTTTCAGGATTACAGTGTATACGTTTTTCTTTATTTACCCTCAAAAAATGGAAGTGAAATGTGACAACATGCCCCGTAGGTGGGGTACATTGTAACATCTGAGGGGCACGTTGTAACATGACCATATAACAGCTTAATATGTTATCTGATCGAATGAAAAAAATATGCAAGACAAACTAAAATATTTTGTTAATAAAATAAAATAATAATTTTTTTCAAATAAAATAATGGCGTTTTTTAAGAATGAAAAACAATCTGATTTTGGATTTTGACAATGAACACATTGCAATCATGCTTGAGACGGCCCACATAAACGAGCAAAAATGCTTTACATGTCTTGAAATAATCATTTCTAAACATTAAACATTGACTGTCAGTCTTTATTCACCTGTTTCTCATTGTTTCTCATTAAAATTCATTCAAGTAAATAGTGTAAATTACATCGCTAATGTTGGGCAAAGAGGCGGGAGCTGGTTGCTGAAACCACGCCCACCTAGCTCGACGGGGGGGACAGCGGCGGCAATCCACCTGTCACTCAAGTGGCCACGCCCTTAATTATGCAGAACTTTAAGGCTTAATATAATTTAAACGGATGAGTTATAAAAAAATTCACCCCCCTCACAGTTGTCATGAAGGGCAACATTAGCTATATAGACCAAAATAATTTTTTGAACCAGGCTGTGAACATGTTTTTTTCTGCTGTAAAGTTGGGCATTTTAACATGGGGAGTCTATGGGATTGACTCCCTTTTGCAGCCAGCCTCTAGCGGCCAGTTGATGAATTACAGTTTAAGTCACTTCCTTGTTGGCTTCACGAGAGAGAGCGGGAGGTTGCCGCTTGGTCTAAACGTATCGCCCCTCACCTCAGCGGCATTTGCTCCGGTTGTATTGTAAACAATACAATACAATACTGGTCAGCATATAGAGCCCTAGTTTGGAAAGGTTTATATGTAGTGTAGTTCAACATTCAGTTGGCTGGTGTTGAGTAGTAAGTGTGTTTGAGGGCATTTGGCAGTGATGTTAGATGATATAATGTATCACATACCAGAGAGTACAGAACGAGCCGTCAAAATAAAGACAGCAAAATGATTTAGTCTGGATGGCACAAACTGTTCCCACTAGATGCTCTCCTGAGTCCAGCCATTTTGGCCATATTAGGAGCAACTCAGTGCTGAGTCATTTGCTATTTCTACTGCTAGATAGACAAACACATTCTCTTAACCACTATAGTATGACATAGGGCTGGGTAAAAAATATCGATATCTCGATATTAATCGATTCTCATTTTTACGGAACGATATCGATTCTTAAATCCCGAGAATCAGTCTAGCCTGTTTTCAGGTAATGGACGGAACATTGAAGGGCAATTCCCATCCAATATATCGCAATAAGCATTGTGCGTTGGTAGTACTTTAAATATGAAACAAAGTCTCAGATTTCAAATTCTGTTCATTGTATTGCAGTATTCAAACAATAAGCCGTTTTGGCGCTGTTTGATGTGGAGTGACAGATCGCTGTAACACACGTGAACTGATCATCTCCTCCACATTAATACCAGTTTCAGCACAAAATAATCATGACTAAACATCCAAAGGTAAGTTAAAATAAAGAGTACAACTTTACAATCTGTATCCTGTCTCATGTAATCGCTCAATCAGTGTTTCAGCCGCACAAAGACGTCAATATAACGTCTTGTATACAATGTCACGTAACGTCACATTTACATCAGAAAAACATATTCGGTGACCATAAACTCATTAGTCAGCTAGTGAACTGAAACGCGTCGATTTTTACAAAGCTCATCGGTCTGAAAAGCGAGGTGTGCTCTGATTGGCCAGCTATCCAGTGTGTTGTGATTGGCCGAATACCTCAAGCGTGTAACGGAAATGTTACGCCACTACCATACTGTGATGCCCTGTCCGGCCGGAGGGGTGAGACAAAAACATTCAAACCCATTATAAACGAGGCATTTGTTGCATCCAGTGGGGACATAATTACGGATTATAATAACTTATACTGTCTTTTTACGCGCTGAGTTGCATCGCGCCGCGTAAACATAAAACCATGTCTGCATTTGTGATCGGAGAAATGACAAACAACAAGTGCTACTCTACACTGCTCAAAACTTGCGTTTGAATCATCAGTGGCAAATTCTTTAAATATAAAAAACATACTTGCAGTCTGGAGTTGGAGTGAGGGTTCCTTTAATAGGACAAAAGGGCTGTTGGTCCTGTGAGGGGACATATAACATGGTACCAATAATTTATTGTGTAATAGATCTTAATATAAGGGTCATTATACTATAGAACAGTATGTATACATTTATATTATTCAGGATTTCAGGTTATGCTTATTGCCAAGACAAACAATGTGCAATTTGTGTTGCCTTTGCATTGGTGCTTTAGAGTTCAGCACTGAATATAGTGAATAATTAAAATAACATTGCAAGGTAAATAATGAAGACACAATGATTCAGTTATTAAAGATCAAATGAAAAGATTCAAAATGAAAAGCAGCAAAAATTTTACCCAAGTACATAAGGCAAAGATAACTTGAATGGTTTTTTTATTGTTTGGTAGGTTGTCAAATTTGTGCTGTGGATTATTTATTTTGCATTCAGTAAGATATGGTTCCTGTTTCTCTCTCTGTAGGTCCGGTGTGCAGTGCTTGTGTGGATAATTTTGGTGCACGGCCAGTAACTGTCTTCAGCGGTGTGATGGTGGCTGGAGGTCTGATGCTGAGTGCTTTTGCTCCAAGCGTCTCTTTCCTCATCTTCTCCTATGGCATTGTTGTTGGTAAGATAATAAAAGCATCATTAGCATTGAATGAATAGCAGTTTGCCGGTAGAAACAGATGCATTTTTTTTTTTTACCTTCAAAGCTTATGAATATGCCTTGTATTTATCTTCTCACATCATACTATTCATAGCGAATGATGGTACTGTATGTGTTTATGTCCAGGATTTTCATTAAGCCCAGGAAGTGCTGAACAGTTTTTATAATGTCAGAGTGTGCCAGGGTTGCTATTAATTATGATTATACAACTTTCAGTGACAGTTTAAATTTTGTACTATAATGTACCTATAATTACCTATAATGTAATTTACATTAAGGTTTTTCAGACTGACATTAAATGTATAGTTACTGATATTTTAAACGTGCAAATACAGTTGTGAAATGCTACATTCATGTTGCATTCAAGAATATATTTATGTTTCTGTGTTTAAGGCATTGGCTGCGGACTTGTCTATGCTGCCACACTGACCATAACCTGCCAGTACTTTGACAAGAGGCGTGGCCTAGCACTGGGCATTGTCACCACAGGTGTGGAATGGAATAAAATGTGTATTATTATATTTTATTGGTACTTTAATTTGCATTGAATTACTATCATAAGCATTTTTGGCTTCATGAAAATTAAGTGAAACAAATAAATACAATAAAATAAATAATTCCCTTTCATTAGAAAACATAAAAAATGGTGCAGATAGCAAAAAACAGTGATTTATTAAATTACCTGGTTCTTTAGGTTAATTATGCTAATTTTTCTCAGGTACAAGTGTGGGCGGGTTCACTTATGCCACACTCCAGAATGAGCTCATTGAGTTGTTTGGATTGGAGGGCTGCCTGCTTATCATTGGAGCACTGGCGCTCAACTTGATGGTATGTGCTGGGCCAATGCGACCTTTGAACTTACCTGGTTACTACCTAAAACAGAGAGCTGCTCTACAGCGTACAGAGGAACCAGAAGCACTCTACACCAAACCTACTGCCATTATCATTGACTCTGATCTCAAAACCACACCTAGCTCGGTCGATAACACAGCCACCATTAAGCTTTTGCTCCTCAAGGAACCCACCGAGCTGCAAGACAGTGAAGGGGAAAGAAAAGGTGGGATATTGTCCTGTTCAATAGTAGCACGAGCCATCAAGAAGCGAATGCATGCCTATGGACGGTACCTGTGCGAGACTGTAGAGCTCCTACAGGACCGTGTCTTCATAGCGTTCTGCATCGCCATATTCCTGCTCAGCTTAGGGGCGTTTTCACCTGTGCTCTTCATGGAGGACGTAGCCCAGAGCGAGGGGCTTATCGACGGGATTGCACTAATACCCCTTGTCTCCATCGTTTCAATGACAGCAGGCATTGGTAAACTGGTTCTGGGCATCCTGGCAGACATGCGATGGGTGAACAGCTTGTACCTGTACGCCCTGACGGTGACAGGCACAGGAGCGGCTCTGCTTCTTATTCCTGTGTCTAAAAGCTACATGGGTCTGCAAGTTCTGTCGGCCATGGTTGGATTTTTCTCAGGGAACTGGTCTCTCACATCCTATATCATTACCAAGATCGTGGGCCTTGAACGACTCAGTCAGGCTCATGGCATTCTCATGTGCTTCGGAGGGTTTGGAATCACCCTCGGGCCACCTGTTGTAGGTAAGAAGCAGCTAATGAACACAAGCATGGTTAAAATTGAAGACAAAAGCTTGCATGAACAGAAAAGTACTAAAGAAAAAATACAGAAGAAAATATATATATTCCTTGTAGGTTCCACCAATGGAGTGATGTCTCACTGTGGGGAGTTTTCGAACACTTTTACTGATGGTGTCTCTGTTTTTCTTTTCTTACAGGTTGGTTCTTTGACTGGACTCAGTCATATGACTTGGCATTCTACTTCAGTGGCACTTGTGTTTTAATGTCTGGTTTGCTTCTGTTCTTGGCCACTCTGCCTTGCTGGAACAGGACATCAGAGGAGGGAAATTCTCCTGCAAAAGAGGTCGTCAACACTTCTCAACAGCCCACTCTTGACTGTGACAAAGTAGCCTCAGTGGCTTGAACAATATCTTAAAGGTCTTTAACTGACCTTGGCCTTAACAATCTGGTGAACATGTAGAAGATTGTCTTACACCAAATAATGATCTTTAAAAAAAGCATCATATGACCCCTTTAAAGCATTGACAGGGTAATCACAGTGATGAAGAGGACGCGAGAGGCAGGCGTCATCAGACTGACTGGGTAATTAGCCAATCATAGCGATAAGAACATGACAGACAGGTGGGCATTATAATATTAACAGAGTAATCAGCCAATCACAGTAACGTATTTTTAAATAATTTTAAATATAATATTTAATAATAATATTCATATTTTAAGGGCCTAACAATAAAACGACCAATGCAACAATATTTAAACATAAATGTATATTATTATTAATCTGAAATCCAGCTATAGCCTATGTTTTTCACTATAAATTGTCTCATTTGGCCATCTGTCTCTTACACTTTCCTTGTTTTTCCAAGCGTTGTCATTCTTTACCCGGACTCCCGAGCCTAGCCACCTATCTTGCGCTGTTATGAACAAAGAGGCAGCGAACTGGCGCGAAGTGATACGAAAGAGCCCTCTGTAACATCGTGCTGTTTTATCCCACTTTCGGAATTGTACTTGACGACGGTAAAATGTTGTTTATATTACTAATAGCTTCAGACAACTTACGACTAAACGCCATTGAAGAGTTTGTGTGACACGCGCCAAATTAAACGGAAGTGTTGACACAGCTTCCGTTTCAAGTGAAATTAGCTCTCATCATCTACTGAAATCTTTACTTATTTCACTTATGCATAACGAATTTCACTACGGTTGATCTTTTTGTTTCACTCGTGTATGTAAGAGGTTTTTCAGTTATGCATATGAATGAATTTCACTAAGGTTGATCAATGTTTTAACTAGTGTATGTAAGAGGTTTTCAGTAATGCATATGAATGAATTTCACTAAGGTTGATAAGTGTTTTCACTAGTGTATGTAAGAGGTTTTCAGTAATGCGTATGAATGAATTTCACTACGGTTGATCAATGTTTTTCATTTCACTAGTGTTTGTAAGAGGTATATCAGTAATGCATATGAATGGATTTCACCAAGGTTTATCAATGTTTTTCGTTTCACTAGTGTTTGTAAGAGGCTTTTCAATAATTATGGCCTATACGGCCCCTCATAAAAGAAAGTAGCGCCAACATTCAATGCTGCCTTGATGAACGGTCAGTTTAACCGCTAAATACCGCAAATGACCAGAAGAGAATCGTGTAATAAATGTATAGTCATGGTCAGACAGACAACAACACCAGTGTGATGTTTGATATGTTGATGCATTTTGCATATGCATATTTTCGATTTTTGATGTGCCATTTTATTTTTACCATGCCCTGTATCAAAAGAGAAATAGCCTACTTTTTAAGGTAATTTAAAAACTTGCTGATTTAAACGTCAACCTGTGGACAGGTAAACATGCTTGAGACACATATCTGTAATAATAAAAAAATTAAAAATATAATTCCAGGCCATTAGATAAAGTGCTAAGAGACATAACATCAAATGTACTATAAATGTAACTAAATTACATCAGTCAATCTTTTCCTTTCATTTATGTGCTAACTTTCTGACATATTTACAAAAACTAAACAGCATCTCAACAATTTTAGGTGTAGTGAAGAAATACAGATAAACAGATGCATAGAGAACCTTATAGCATGAGCCAAGTGTACAGTTCCAGGAAAATTCATATTAAACTCATCTATCCTCTCTTCTCTTTACTTCTCCCTCTAAATCTTTGCTTTCCTTTTTACAACATTTGGTATCATCCCAATTGCCCATAAAAGAGATTTATTGATGTTCCACCCATGGATATGACATTACAAAGATACAGAACAGAACAGTAAACATTTATAATGTTTCACAAAACCTGAAAATATATAACCACAAAATAAGATTTAGTCACATTCAATTCAGGGATTACAATCGGTTTAGACATTTGGGTAATTACAATCTTGCTGGCTGCTGAATGCATTCAGATATTAATGAGAGCATACTTACACATTATAAAAAAAGGTAAGATTTTATAATGGAATTCTGTCAATCAGAAAGGTATATTAATAAAGTGTGACTGTATAAGGGAATAAGAGAATCTCACTATCACAGATAAGACAAACCATTTTCTAGACAATGACAAGAATAATGGAAAATGGGAAAAAATATATATTATTGGATATTTTTCTATGTCTAAGGATCTGATCTGCCTGTAAGCACTCAGTCCTGTAAGTTGATTATGTTACAACTCTGCATTACTAAATCATGAATTCGAATAATCTTAAAATGTGCATGCTCTTACCAAAATATAATGGATTGTACCAGAACCCCCTTTTCATACAAACATATTACTCATGTCTTTATGTGAAGGACAGGCAAGTTATAAGGCCTGACATCAGATCAACAATCTGAACAGATTAGTTAACATTTTCTGAAAAACTACATATTTGATAGTACATTTCAAACAGTGTATCTTACAAAAATGCTTTGTGCTGATTTTATGTGTGTGCGTTTGTTTGGAAGGATGAGTCACAAAAATAAGCCACAGCAGAATGAAACCCCCCCCCCTCCAGCCCAGTTTTGTTTGCCCTGTGGATATGGTCAGTTTTCCCCTTTTTAGGCTGCAGCTTAACAATATAAGCTGACAGGTATATTCAGATTTATTGTGGGTTTTAGCTTGCATTATGCTAGGCATTAGGGTTAGCATTACGGCTTAGCTAGCTGCAATTTCCAGGTATTTGTACACTGCCAATACCTCTAAATTTAGCTCTGTGCCTCAAGAAAGAAGAGATAATGTTTCAAATGCAAGTGTTGCCTTCGACTAATTCATTCCTTATAGTTTTCATTGTGTTTAAGTGGAAAAAAGTACACAGCTGAGAAATCACCTTCTGCTTCATTGTCCGTATATATTCCATGAGATTTAGCAGAGTAAAATGCTTTTGCAATCTAAAACTCTACAAGAGACATAATCAATGTGCATTATATACTTTGATATTATGACACAAGGATTAGAAGGATTCAGTCCTGAGAAATCAAATGGGTTGTAGTCACATCCTCCTTCCTGGACCAATCAGAATCCACACTCAGTAGATGTTGTTCACATAAATATGTTTACTTAGGTACTTACCTCAGAAATGTATATATATTAATTGAAAATCTAAATAATCAAAATAAATTACAAAATATATTTTTAAGATTGCAAATGTATTTTCTTGCCCTTTGAAGAACATTTTGTAATATATTTTGGCATTCGAAGGTTTAGACAAAATATATTTTCAATGTGATGTTTACAAAATGTATATACCATATATTTGAAATATATTTTGGCCAGAAAAGTTTTTTTTTTTTTTTTTTTTGCCATATGGGTTAAAATAGCTAAGTCTAGGGCTGGCATCTGTGTGAAAGTTTTGGCGCTGGAGTGGAACAATTGATGTTGATCTAAGCCAGGGGTCACCAAACTCAGTCCTAAAGGGCTGGTGTCCAGCAGAGTTAAGCTCCAACCCTAATTAAACACACCTGAACCAGCTAATTAAAGTCTTACTAGGTATACTCAAGTTGGAGCAAAGTCTGCAGGACACTGGACCTCCAGGACCAAGGGCCTGTCCACACGGTGATGCATTTAGCTGTACCGTATATGTAAAAATTTTGTATCGTATCAGCATTTCGTCCAGACAGATCTGGCGTTTTGGGTGCCGGAAACCGCAATTTTTTGAAACCGGGTCCCAGAGTGAATAAATCTGAAAACGAACGATGATGTCATCACCCCACGTCTCAACCCTAGTCAGATACCGCTACATCATGAAACAGCAACAACAACATGAACAAACAATGTATTTTTTATTAAATACAAAGTTCTGGCATGAAACTCTAGATGGCGCTGTCGGATAGGTCTAACTCAATCTGACATAATGACATCGTTATTACACAGCACAGCTGATTGGTCCTCTCCTCTATCAGTAGCCAATGTGCTCGCTGCTCAACATTCAAATATTACTAGCGCTTGCTGTAGCAGCGTGCTTCAGAACCCCTCCACCTTCCCCAGCTCCACATGTATAGATCTGCTACGTGGTGATCATGTATACCAGCAGTTCTCAATTCCAGTCCTTGCGTACCCCCGCTCTGCACATTTTGTATTTTTCTCTTATTGCTTCAGATGTTTGTTATATTTGACTCTAAGTGCCCTGTGAAGTGGACATTACCGGATATTCCTCCATGATTCCAGTTTGAAGGGAGCGTATATGTTCCATACAAAGGGCATATAAGTGTGCAAGACGTAAATTTAAATTGTATTTATTTACAGCGGTATATTATGTCCCACGTCACGCTTCTCTAGTAAGTTTTGTGTGTGTGTGGAGACGCTGCAGGCAGTGGCGCAGCGCAAATCTGTAAATGAATATTCCGAAGTTAAGTAAACTTAAATGGATTTTCCCCTGCTCAGGGAGTAGTGAGCAATGGACACTGTGTAGGGACCATGTCAATCGGATCACAGTTCATGCACGGAGCTCACTTCTAACGAGATGATGATCTGAATCAGGTGTGTTAACAAAGAGAGACATGCAAAACATGCAGAGCGGGGGTACACGAGGACTGGAATTGAGAACCGCTGATGTATATTATATGGGGGTTATTTCATGTATGTTATATGTGCAACAGCAATATTCCTAACATGCTCACAGCAGCATGTTGTGGATGTATTGGCAGTAGCAAATCTCGGTACTTGCTCTGTCACAGCAGCAGCGTAGCAGATCTATTCCGCCAAGACTAAATACATTAACATTGTTATGTATATTACCATGCAAATCACTCCGAGAGTTGTCATGACAGAACTAACATTAACTCAGATTAATATACGTATTGTTCCATGTTCGTCTTCTTGTTGTTGTGTAGGTTTTGTATACAGCGCGAAAGGTTTATGCACATGCTTAAAGTCGTCTTCTTCGTCTGACATGTATACTGCATTGTTTTGTGTCGGTTTCAGTGGTTTTGTGTGTACGCAGATATTTCTTGAGGTGACGCCGTGTTGACGGAAGAACGAGGAAAAAA